TGAGTGCCCCGCACTCCCCGCAGCCCGCCTGCAGTTCGGGCGTCTTCCGGGTGATCAGTCGTGGACCCTGGAGGGGCATGGTCCCTCCTGCCCCCTCTCCGTGCCCCCTTGCCCTCCAGGGCTGAACATCCCGGGGCACCGGACCATGCTCCCTACAGGGATTTTCGGGTGATGGGGTTGGTCGCCTTCAGAAGGTCACGGCCGCGGGCATGGCTTGTTTCCGGTTAGGATCATGTCCTCGGGCTACCTCCGGTCTATGAAGCCGAGGCGGGCTGTGAAGGCTGCTGCGAGGGTCGGCTTTTACTCTCCTTAGGATTGACCGGCCAGGGCTGTCCCATGGGCACGCATTATTGGTGATCAGTAACCAGCTAGGACTTCGATTTTGAGTTTTATTTCGGGGGGCGGGGGAGAACAGGTGGGGAGTTTTGAATGAGCCTTGGGATAGCTTAGAGATGGTCATTTAATTATGATCAGTTTGGGATTTTGCTTGAATTTCCTAGTATTTACGAGATTGTGGTATGGGTCGGGAGTTGTCACGGTAGGCTCGGTAAGTGTCGATGAATGAATAAATGAACACATGCAAGGCACTCCGTGGGGACTCCAAAGGCGAGTTAAATTCTCAGTGGGTGTCAAATGTGTGAGTAAATGCCCTCATGGATTGAAGTTTATCAAGAGATAGGTGTGGTGTTAGACTTTTGGGGGTGGGGGTGGGGACTAATGAAGCCTGATGAAAGTGTTCCTTTGAATAGTATTCCTGACCACTGAGAAGGGGAGATGGGCACTGAGGTTTTAGAATTGGGGAAAAGCTGACTTTGAAAGACCAGTGTTTAAAGGTATTTTGGGAGACAGCATAAGAACTAAGACTGAGAGCTAAGGATCTGTAATAGGCCCGGGCTGGACTGCTGAGCTCTATTTGCCTAGTGCCATTAGACAAGTTCCTTAATTTCTCCAGCCAGGCCTATTTCCTTAGTTATAAAGTGGGAGTAGTGTTGGTAGTGGGGCCTGGTCCCTAGTAGGTGCTTTATTAGTTACTATAGTAATAAGTATGATTACATGGATCTTTGTGCACCGGCCTGGAAACCGGCTTTCTGCATGAAATTAAATGGAGGAAATGTTTTATGACTGCTTAACAACTTAGTTATAAATCTTGGGAATGTAGCCTACTTGTAGCCTGGAGCCTGCCTGGATTTTCTCATTAGGCCTCAGTCGTTGACCTTCTTGCCTCTGCTTTCACAGAACTACATCTTTTGGCTTTCAGAGTGTTCTGACAAAGAAAGTTATGCCGGTTACTCTTATTTGTCTAGTCCTTAACATCCCTTGAAGGGTCTATCATTCATCTTCATTGTTGCATTTGAGGGAAACAACAGAGGGAACACAATCTAGTAGAAAGGGTATCCTATATAATAATCTCCTATATAATAAAAGCGTAATATGCTAACTGTCTAACGAATCAGTCAACTGTTCGACCAGTCGCTATGACGCGCACTGACCGCCAGGGGGCAGATGCTCTAACTGGTAGGCTAGCTTGCTGCTGGAGTCCAGCCGCTGGGGACTGGGCGAGAGTGCTGGACATGCCCTGGAGCCCTCCCATGGTCCCTCCCTGGCCCGCCAACCAACCTCCCATGGTCCCTCCCCGGCCAGCTAGCCCCCATCTGCCCCCCATTGCCTAACTACAGCCGGAGGGCCCCAATGGGCCCCTATCAGGGTCAGCTGGCCAACCTCCCATGGTCCCTCCCTGGCCAGCTAGCCCCCATCTGCCCCCCATTGCCTGACAGGCCAAGGGGCCCCACACATGCACGAATCCATGCACTGCGCCTCTAGTTCTATTATAGAAGGTCTGGGTGTTCATCAGACCTGGGTTCCATTTACTTGCTGCAAAATCTTAACCTCTTTTATCCTCGGTCTCATCTGTAAAGTAGAGGTAACAGGTCTTTCCTGCTTCTTTGTAAAGTTGAGTTCTTGTCATTTAGGACTCAACTTAAATGCTATTTCTTTAGAGAAGCCTTATGTCAACACTCTAAAATCAACTACCCTATTTTAGTTTTATCATGGCATATCTCACTTGTCTGATATTACTTGTTTATCTTTTCTCTATTTTCTTAGAAAATAAGTTGTGTGAGAGCAGAACTTTGTCTTATTCACCACTGTGTGCTCAGCAAGTAAAGTAGTATTTGTCCCCTTATTCTCCTGGGCACTAAACCCTTTTTCTATGCAATCTTCTATCCCTCAGCCTCTAAGCATGCCTAGGTCTTTCCCTCCTGAAAGACAAAACTTTTCTAGACTTATTCTAGATCAGCAGTTCTCAACCTGTGGGTCGTGACCTCTTTGGGGGTCGAACGGCCTCGAGCAACCCTTTCACAGGTGTCGCCTAAGACCATCGGAAAACACATATATAATTACATATTGTTTTTGTGATTAATCACTATGCTTTAATTATGTTCAATTTATAACAATGAAATTGGGGGTCACCACAACATGAGGAACTGTATTACAGGGTCGTGGCATTAGGAAGGTTGAGAACCACTGCTCTAGATGCTTCCCAACCTCTCTTCCCTGTCTGTACTCCCATCCTGCATTTCCTCACTTTGCATCCACTCATCTACCCACTGCAGTCACCTCTGCAAAAGCCATCGTTGTCTTGTTTATTACCTTTTTTATCGTATATATTTAAATTATAAAACTCATGAGGAACAATTCCAAAATGCAGGGGAAAAGCAGTAAACTAAAAATCATCCTAATTCTATAACCCAGAAAGATCCATGGATATATATAACTCCTTCTAGTCATTTATGTATGTGTGAGATGATCCATGTTCAAGGCCTTGATCTCTGGCATATTACTCTGTCTCCCATTTTGCCTGCGTTAGACCCTTTTCTTGGCATTGGTGACATTACTCTTTCTTGTCTTTAGAATTTTTCTCACTGGCTTTGGTGCTTCCTTTTTCCTCTGTTCATCTCTTAAATGTTGATGTTTTGGGGGGTTTTGTCCTTCGTCCTTTGCTTTCTAATTTTTTATCCCCTTTGGGTGACCTCTTCCATTTTCAGGGTATCAGCCCCTACCTATCTGATGATGGCATGATTTCTCTTCCTGTACATAGACTATCTACTAGACATCATGATTGAACTGCAGGTACTTCAGATCCATCACATCTCATATTGGACTAGTCTTTCCTCCCAAATCTGTTCCTTGTGTGTTCTGTGCTTTTGTGAATATTGCTATTGCTGTTTCCTCGCGATTTCTCATTCATATTTAATTGACACCTCCCCCACCCCCATGTATTGACTCCACAGTGATTAAGTCTTATTAGATCTACTTCATATGGAATGACTCTGTTCCTCCAACCCCCATATCATTCCCTAGTCTCCATGATAATTTGATCATGTCATTTTATTACTTACAGTCAGACACTGTGGTGACTCCCATTAGGTCTAGGAGAAGGTGCTCCATGATCTGGAGATGTTGGAGCCTCACTTGTTATGAGTTCTTTCCCATGGCATCCTTACCAAACTACTATTTTGAAGTCTAGAGGGTTTCTGAAACTATAATGAGTATAAAAATTTCCTGGGGATATTGTTAAAAATGTAGGTTTTGCCCTAGCCTGTTTGGCTCAGTGGATAGAGCGGCAGCCTGTGGACTGAAGGGTCCCAGGTTCAAATCCAGTCAAGGGCACATGCTCAGGTTACAAGCTCGCTTCCCAGTGTGGGGCGTGTAGGAGGCAGCCAGTCAATGATTCCTTCACATCATTGATGTTTCTATCTCTCCCTCCCTCTCCCTTCCTCTCTGAAATCAATAAAAATATGTTTTAAAAAACTTTAAAAGGTAGGTTTGGATTTTATAAATCTAGGCAGGGGACTAAGATTCTGCATTTCTAACAGGCCCCCAAATGATAAAAATGCTGGTCTGTGGACCAGCAAGGCCCTGGTGGGCCATGCTGCATATCTGCTTGCTTTTGAATATAATGTTCACTCTTGAGATATGTCTCCCTTTCCCCCTACTCAAGTGTTCCCCTTCTTTGTTAAATCTTTCTTGTACTTTCTCTCATAGTCAGACTCACTAAAGCATCCATTAACATGATTGCATGTGTGACCACCAACACTCCAGACCTGGCTGTAAGTTCCTTGAAGGCAGGAACTTTGTTTTATTTTTTTTTGACCTTGAGTTGAGGATAGCAATGAAAATCTTAGACATTGAGTAAGGAATATTGTGAGATGCAAAGAAGTTTGGGCCCATTAGCCCATTCATATAGTGTAGTTAATTTCCACACATTCACTCTGATATTTATTTCCAGGAATGTCCTGTCTGAGAAGGAAAGATGAGTATTACTAAGCGAATATATTAATCCTCACCTGAGGATATGTTTTCATTGATTTTTAGAGAGAGAAAGAAACACTGATCTGTTGCCTCACGCATGTGCCCCAGCCGAGGATGGAACTTGCAATCTAGGTACATGCCCTGATTGGGAATCGGACCCATAACCTTCTGGTGTATGGAACGACGCTCCAACCAACTGAGCCACCTGGCCATGGCAGCAGTTTTTTAAACAAATGTTTTCTTAAAAACCAGCTCTTACCATCTTCTTTGGGGAGGTGGAAGAGCAACACTTTCGCTT